GGTGACCCCTTCGTCACACTTGTTCTCGCCGGGCTCGGACCACAATGGAGAACCACCCGCTCGCTTCTTCGCGCCCACGGACGAATTTCCGAGATGCACCTCTGCGCCGAGCTTCATGCTGAACAACAGGAGATGGGCCTGTTTGAAGAAAGACAACCACGAAGCAAGCAGCAACCGTTAGTCTTCTACACTCAAAGAAGAAACAACAACAACCATAACCAACACAACACCAGAGGCCTCACCATCTTGCCACCGTTCTGCCACAACTGTCAGACATCCGGGCTCTCCAAGGTCAACTGCACACGCCCTCGAGTTTCTCGTCCAGCAGACCCGCTAGCCGCCTCCACTCAAGCAAATCCGCCGAGTCGTTCCTCTACCACTGCCAAGGGTGCTGCACTTCGTCCCCGACTGCGGTACTGCCGACAACGACGCCATCGTGTCGTTCGCCGCCTGGACGCACCCGCCCGATCTTGACCCCGAATTTAGTCCAAGCACGTTCTGGTACTCCAACACCATCCCTGCAGCAGAGAGAACACGAGCATTAGCAGTCATTCGACAAGAACGACAAGTACCAGCAAGTATCCCTTCCCCGACATCACCTGTAGTAGCAGCAGCAAGACCCAGCCGTGCGCCATCACCAGCAATCCGAGGACCGCCAACTGAAGCAGATTAGCTCATGCCCATCACCCGAGGAGTCTGCCGCAGTCCCGCTACGGTCGTTGCGTTCTTCTCCAACGCCGACCTGTACCGGCATTCACCCGGCCATCGCGCTCCCGACGACATCTGGCATCAACGCCTCGGACACCCTGGAAACAGCACAATCCTTCAAACCATACAAGCCGGAGTATTAGAAAAAAGACGCTCTCCTCACACCGAGCGGCCAGGAGCTTCGACGACCCCGCGCACGATGCTTCACGTGCCCGAAGCTGATCTTCCACATCAATCTTTCCCGTCGCATCACAATCCAAGCACACCTGCATACGCACCGATGGAAAATGTTTACATCGATATTTTGAATATCCCTCGAGACGACAGTGAAGCAGAGTACAACTACGTTATCATGTTCATCGATGCAGCAACACGGTACGTCTGGCACTTCAACCTCAAGACTCGTGCCCAAGCGTTCGAAGCTTTCACGGCGTGGCTCCCCATCGCTGAACGAGAATCGGGCTCCCAACTCAAGAGTTTCCAGTCAGACGGGGCACTGGAGTATCAGTCACAAAGGTTCAGGAGCTACTTGGCGAAAAGAGGCATCAAACGCCTGGTGTCCCTGCCCTACGCTCACCAGCAGCAGGGGTCGTAGAGAGGACGAATCGCACCTTGCAGACGACGATGCGGAAGCTGCTCCTGGGGATGGGACTGCCCAACACCCTTTGGCCTGACGCGATGACGCATGCAGTCCATCTCCACAAACTTGCTGTCCTCGTCAACACTTCCCAACAGCGCATCACCGCACCTGCTGTGGACAGGAAAACTGGGCAGCACAAAATTACTTCAATTTTTTTGCTGCATGGTACAGTACAGACCCCACACAGCTCGAGCAGGACGATTTTCTCAACGAGCACGGTGGGGACTACACCTCGGCATCGCAAAACATTTTCACGCATGGAAAATTCTCGACATCCAGGACAAAAACACCGTGGCCTCACGTGATGTGATTTTCTACGAGAGACTGAAGCTGCAGCATTACCTGGACACACGTCGCCAACACCACAGACCCCACCGACGGCTTCGAGGGCCATCGGTCCTTCGCCGATCATGCTGCCGAAGCTGACGCAGCAAGAAGACGTTCCTGAAGCCTCGGAAGCTGCCGGACCACTCCCTTACTGCTCCGTGCCCGTTCCCCTCGACGACGACAACCCTCTCGATAGTAACAACCTCGACACCTACTACCACTTCGCTGACCAGGGCTACTCTACACCTCAACCGGTTGACACAAATGTCTCTGAACGAATAGGACCAAATTTCTTACCTGACCCCGAAGATGGCAACGAAGCAGCTTATCCCGGGAATGAAAATTCCCCTCGACACACACCCACGGACCTGCAGATACTTGGACTATGGGTCGCCATCCAGAGCCCGCTGCTGCCGTCGCCGCGCGAGCCAACGACTCTATCGCAGGCTCTGCATGCTGCTGACCGGACAGATAAGCGTCACCGAATCCGGACACGTCAGCACTCCAAAAACGAAGGGGAGTGTTGGAAATACCTCGAAGACTTGAGCGTTTCTGAAGTGTAACACTACACTCGAGGAAAGTCGTATCGGGTACGCGAGTCAACGGAGGTTACACGAGGAGGTTGGACGAAAGAATACGAAGGGGCGAAGGGACTCTAAGGGTTGCAACCGGAGGTTGCGATTGACCGTTGCGACTGCAAGGGTGGTAACCGAACCGACAATCGAGTCGCTGTGCGTTTCAATAACTGTTCCTTCAACTGTATTCTACAACTGCTTCATTTCTTATATTGCTGTATGCTTGTTTCTTTTAATCAATCACTTGTTCCCACATACTAGTGCAAGGGTTCAACTACTCAACACTTCCGCTGCACTACTCTAGCGTTTTGTACAAGTGGGACTTAGTCTCTGAAAAGGTCCTAAGGCTTTTTCTCAGCCCAACAGGCTCCATATAGTCATAAAGTAACCAGTCCTAATCACTGGGACAAGAAGAGATATCATCAGGAGGGTTAGGCTCGATATATCCACCTTCCCCAGGGAAAGCCTCCCTAGTACCCTTCTTAGAGAGAGAAGTGGTTCGATAATGCTATCCCAGTGCCGCGCTGCTCCAACTCACGTCGCAGGAAGTACCGCAGCTAGATGTGCTTCGCCCTGCCCTCAAGTCAAGCCTCCTGACACAGGAGGATCATAGCCCTGTTGTCAGAAAACAGGACCAGGGCAAACCTAGGTAGCTCACCTAAGTGAGTGAGCAAGAACGAGAGCCAGTGGAGCTCCCGAGTGGCCATGGCCCGAGCGTAGATCTCTGCCTCACAACTGGACTGAGCTATAGACGACGACCTAGTGGACCTCCACAAGACAGCACCAGCACCAAGACTAAAACAGTAGCTCTGAGACGACCTGAGCGTCTTTAAGTCGTCAGCCCACAACACGTCTGTGTGTCCAATGAGTACCACTGGCTCCCGTCCTCCTAGCACAAGCCCCAAACTTGATGTACTCACCAGATACCGTAATACCCTTTTGGCAGCAGACCTATGGACTGGTCAGTGCCTGCCTGTCGCCAAAAAGCAAGCAAGGAGACTGAGAGGGTATGCTAGATCTGATCGAGTGCAGGTCATCAGGTACATGAGGCAACCCTCCAGCTCTGCTTACATTATGGACCATTAACCTCTACCGGCTCAGCCGGAACAGGAGCAAAGAGCTTGTGATCCACAGGCAGAGGGGTGGGCCGTGCAGAGGAGAATTGAAGACTGAACCTCTTAAGGGCACGTGGTATACATCTCGTAATCCTCCAAGCAATCTAACGGACGAGCATACTGCTGTGGTCCCCAGAGTCCCAGAAGGATGACGTGTAGTCGGCCCTACCAATAAGGCCTCGAGGTTGGGGATCAACGTTGGAACTCGAAGAACCACTTCACTACAATCACTATCTATACTTGTGCAGTACTTGTCTCCAACGTATCATAATCACGAGGTATTACTTGAATTGGCCCGGAATGTCTCGTCGTTTGTCACTGAAATAATCGATAGTACATTTCCGTTGGAGGAAATTTGAGGTCCATAATATGAAACTGCTGTAAAAAACCACTATCGTAACAAGCTACATTTATGTACAGTTTTGTCCAACCAACTTCCAAATGTTCACTTACCATGTGCCCAAAGTTGCACATACATAGTGTGTCTCACATGGCTCTCGTTCCAGCAAAGGCAAGGCTGAGAGGCTCTATTTGCGAAGCCAGGTTGATGATGGCAGGGGGCGGGGTGGGGAGGGCGGGTGGAAGTTGTTCATGGTCCACACGAGCGCCCACTTGAGTCACACAGCAGGTACTTGAGCGCCTTGGTCCACCGCTCATCGCGGTTGAAGCTCTGCTTCACTGTCAGCCCTTGGATCTTGTCACCCTCGATCCTGTGACAAGGTGACGGGACCAAAGATGGTGCATCAACAGGAGATGCCAATAAGAGTATAGAGTCAACAAGCACCTGAGTGGGTACTTGGCGTTGCACCTACAAGTTTACACCAGACAGTGGGTGAACAAACACCCATACATGCATAAAGGCTCAACTGCAGAGCGCTCACTTGTAGGGCAGTTGGAAGGACTTTTCGGGCGGGAGGTGGTTGGCACGGTCATGGGCGTTGGCAAAGTCTGCAAACTCCTTGAGGCACTGCAGGAAGAGCAGCATGGCGCGGTCGTAGCGCGTGCTCCAAAACAGATTCACTGGGCCAAAGCTGGCAAGGAAGCGGGTGCAAGGGGTATGTTTGAAAGAAAGGCATTTTGAGTCGCCTAGGAACATGTCACTGCAGGAAGAGCAGCACAGCTCGGTCGTAGCACGTGCTTTGCAACATGTGCTTCACTGGGCCAATGCTAGTGAAGAAGTGGGTGCAGGAGGTGGGAAGAAGGGTGTTCAGTGCGTGTGGCATGATGCAGCATCAGTGTGGCTTGGTATAATGTGTAGATGGCAATATCATGGTGCCATACAATGCACCCATAGCTCAGCATTTGGCACGCACAGCTCAAACTGGTTGTGGCCGTCAGATATTCGAGGAAAGCTGCCCATAGGGATGATCCGATGGCTGCAGTGATGCGAGAGATAGGAGGAGACGAGATGTAGACAGGGGTTATGTGGATGATCAAGGTGATGCAAGGAAACAGATGGGCTATAACTGCAGTACAAGGGAGACACATGAGGAAGCAGCAAGGAATGATTGCAATGCAACAACAAGCACACAGGGGAACAAGGTAATACAAGAAAACGCAAAAAAAGGAATGAATGTGATGCACGTGCATGGTGATGCATGTATTACGCGACAGGGCAGTTGGCGATGCGTGCGAGAGTGAAGAGCAGATGGCAGGCCTGGCCCATGCAGCGTTGAGCTCCTCCCACTCCACCTGAGAAAGAGAGGGGGGGGAGGGATAGAAGGGTGGAAAACAGTTGAAGGGAGGGGCGGATAGAAGGGAGGAGAAAGGGTTGGAGGTATGGAGGAAGGAAGGAGGGGGAAGGAGTGAGGAGCAGCTGGCAGGCTTGGCCCCATGCCGAATTGAGTTCCTCTTGCTTTACCTGGCAGTGAGAGGGGAGGGCGATGTGGATGGAGAAAGGAGTGGAGTGAGGGACGGAGATCAAGAGTGTAAAGGAGAGGGACATGCATGCACAACACAGGACAGATGGTTGTGTTCCCAGGCAGCTGCGTCAGTGAGCCCACGTCCTCCCTGCTGTTTCACATCAACACCTTCCAGAGCAACTCACAGGCACGGATGGCAGTCTCCCCACGCGCAGGTTGTTGATGGTGCCAAACTCCCCCTCGTGCCAGATGTGGAACGCGTCGTTACCTTCGAGTCAACTCAAACACGCAGTAACACGCATGGAGAACAGTATCCAGAGCACTCCCATCGCACTCACCGGTACGGATGGTAGCCTTCCTAATCGCAGGTTGTTGATGGTGCCGAACTCCCCCTCGTGCCAGATGTGGAACGCGTCGTTGAGCACAAAGCTGCGCCTCAGAGCCTCCGACTGCGCTGCTGCCACTTCTATGGACGCAAGGAGGGCATCACGCGTCTCCTGCAGTGCGCCAAGGGAGGGGGGGAGGGAGGCAGTGGGACGGATGGAATGGAGCAACACATGTGGAACGCGCCCTTGAGCACAAAGCAACACATGTGGAACGCGCCCTTGAGCACAAAGCAACACATGTGGAACGCGCCCTTGAGCACAAAGCAACACATGCGGAACGCACCCTTGAGCACAAAGCCGTGCCTCAGCACCTCCACTCTGGACACTTTTCTTGAAATCACAGGGAGGAGAGGAGGGGGGGAAAGAAGTGGGAGGGAGGGGCAAGGGAAAGAGGTGGGGGAGAAGGGCTATACAAAACGCTTCTAGTGCTGGTAAGAAGAGTGAGAACCAGGCGCAAAACTACACATGAAACGGACAGCTGTGTGATCACCAAAAAGGTCAAATAGTGCCAAGGGGCTGGCATGCCTTCACCTGGCGTGCCTCACCTGGCGTGCCTTCACCTGGCGTGCCTCACCTGGTGCACAGACACGTGGTATTGGAACTCGTTGAACTCGTGCCAGTAGCTGCCATTGGGGGAGGAGGAGGAAACGAGGGGAGAACCGGAGGCAAAACACTTGAGTGGGGTGGTGTGAGTCAGCCTGAGAGACATGAATGTGCCACATGACACACGGAACTGCTCCCCTTCCCACCTACCTTCCTCTTCCCCACGTCTCTAACCCCATCTCCTCTACAACAATCATTCCCTCGCTCCTCCCCCACTCCCCCTCTTTTCTAGATCGCATCTCTCTTCAGCAGCATCTAGCCCCAGCAGCTCCGCTTCCACCTCCCCCAGTTGCGCCCTAAGCTGCTTGCTCTTTCCCCCACCCCGTTTCCTCCTGCCCCCTCATCCCGCCTCCCTTGGCCACTTCTCGCTGCACATACCTCTCCTCAGCAGCGTCTAGCTCCGCCTGCTCTGCTTCCACCTCCCCCAGTTGCGCCCTCAGCTGCTCCCTCTGCTGCAGCAGCTGCTGCTGCTCCTGCTGCAGTCTTCGCTCCTCCACTTCCACCTGTTAGTACGGGATGGGATGGTGGCATAAATGGTTAGCCACAAGCATGGTGTGGCGTGCAGTGAAAAAGAGCATGTGAGGTCGGTTTTCAAATGTGGTATGGGGTATGGGCACGGAACGTGTGATGGGAGATGGATGGTCAATGGAGCAACCGGTGATGAGAGCATGGGGAGAAGTGCTGCTTCATTCTAACAACCGGGAGTTCCATTCTTACTTCGGCCATGTGCTGCTCGAAGTTATTGTCCCCCATGGGAGCCATGGGAGCCATGGCAGTTGGGGGAAAAGGAGTGTCGACATGGGTGACTGGTAAGGAGTAGTACGGGGTTGAGGAGGAGGAAGGGGTGGAGGCGAGAATGGACTGCAGCGCTGCTTCGTAGGCTGCTATCTCCTCCTCTGCTTCCGTCACCTGCATGGACGCGTGGGTAGTGCATGTGTGGGGGAGAGGTGAGGGCATACATGCGCCGAGCGCATACATGCACCGAGCTAAACATGGGCATTTTACCCGATAGGGTCGCGGGTACCCGACCCGACCCAACTTTTAGGCCGGGTCGGGTAATAGGATTCCTGCGAATTACCCGATAATGCATACCCGATATTCGATAATTACTCAAATGGTCGGGTAATTTGTTACTCGTCGGGTCGCGGGTACCCGACCTGATTCCGGGTCGCGCAATTACCCAACAGAAACCAGCGCCAGATTTGACGCGCTGGTTGGGAAATTTCGACCAGAGGGTAATATCTCCCCTTTTATTTTCCCCTTCTTAGCTGTGTTCTATCTTAGCCTAGCCTAAGATGCGCCTCGTAAGGGCAATTCTGATCTAGCATGCATTTGAAGGGTATAGGAGGGAGCGAGTTGTGTGACGCTACCGTAGTTAGTATTGGAGGCAATGATCGCAGCAATGGGGTATATTTAATACTAGGATCATGTCAACCATTTTAGATGCGTTAGCCAACCAAAATAAACTCTGATCAGCCGTGAAACAACCTTTACCAACAGCTGAAGTATTTGTACCCTGTGTCAGAGGCTCACAGGTTGGTCGCAGTATTGCACTGCTCAGGGTTAATAATAACTCAGCCCCATTGCCCCAGCAAACCAACCCAAAAGAGTTGCATCGTTGCCCTAAAACAAGACCGCGGTCAGTGGATTTTGAGATGCATTCTCCACTGGTTCTGCCATAAAGTAGCATTTACTCCTGATTTTTACAGCCATGTAGGGGTACCCTGGTAATAATACCCGACTTTAATTAAAAGCGGGTCGGGTATCCCCGACCCGCCTCAAGGGTACCCAGTTACCCGGTATTAAATAACCGGGTCGGGTAATAGGCCTCCAGATATTACCCGGAAATTACCCGACCCGACCCAACCCGGATCCGAACGCGGGTAGGGCAAAACCGGGTCGGGTCGGGTAATTACCCGGTTTTGCCCATGTGCGGGGTGCAGTCGCAGCAGAGGGGCACATGAATGCCAGCCGGCCGTTCTTGAAATGACTCGAAACTAACCGGTGCAAATTTACCCCCTCAACCGTGAATATTATACCCCCACCTCACCTGCCAGTCAATCTTGCGGCACACATGCAAGGCGCAGCGGCAGCAGAGGGGCATCTCCGCCTGGGCTTTGAGCGCCACCAGATCCCTCGTGAATCCACTCAGAAAGTACAAACCTCTACAAATTGCGACCCTCACTGCCCTTCTTAGCCCCACGCCCCGTCACGCCCCTCACGCCACGGCACGCCACCTCACCTGGGCGTCGATCTCGCGGCACACGTGCGAGGCGCAGTGGCAGCAGAGGGGCATCTCCACCTTGGTCTTGAGCGCCACCAGGTCGAACACGCGGTCCAAAGCCTCTATCTGCGCGTGCAGCCCGACACCTGCCTGGGGGTATCTCGACGGACTCTCTGCACCAGCAGCAGCAGCAGCAGCAGCAGGCAGTCCCACGCCTGCTTGGGACTCCCTGGACGGCCCATTTGCTGCTGCTTCTGCAGCAGCCGCACCACCACCACCACCAGCAGGCAGCCCCACGCCGGCTAGGGGTTCCCTTGACGGCCTCTCTGCAGCAGCACCATCCCCACCTCCAGGAGGTCCAATTCCATATGAAAGCCTTCCGCTGCTTCCTTCTTCCTCTTGCTGCTGCTGCTGCTGCCGGTTATTGCTCTGGTTACCATCACGCTCATCTTCTCTCCGCTCGTCCCTCCACCGTCTCCTCTCCCTGCCCCTCCCATCATACCACCCCCCCCTGCACCGCCCTCCTCCACATTATCTCTCCTTGCACCCTCTTCAGCACCCCCTCTCCTTCTCTCCTCATCAGCAGCAGCTGCACCTGGCGTCTCAGCCTGTATCTGTTCCGAAGCTCTGCTTTCGCTCCGGTTTTCATGCCAAGTATCCGGACCTGACCTCCCCGGTTCGGTGGTGAAAGCAGCAGCAGAAGCAGCATCTCCAGCACTAGCAGCCATGGCAGCAGCACCAGCAGCCGCAGACGCAGACGCAGCAGCAGCAGCTGCTGCTGTCACCGCTACTGCTGCTGCAACCAGTCCTTGGGAGGGAGCAGCAGCGGCAGCAGCAGCAGCAATGGGTGAGGCGGGAGGGATGGCAACTGCTGATGCACTAGCAGCACTGGCGGTGATGGTGGGCGGCAGGGGGAAGGGGTGGGTCTGGGACGAGGGGCGGACATAAGCGGCTGTGGGAGCGCTGGTGAAGGCAGGAGAATGGGAGGAGGGGGTGGGGGCATGGGGGAGGGCAGGAGCGCCGTAGACTGAAGCCGCAGACCCGGGGAGCACCACAAACGACTCGTCCAGGCGAGAAGGGGGAGCTGGAGGATCGGCGGAGGGGTGAGAAGCAGACGAGACGGAGTTGATGAGAGTAAACGAGAGAGTTACCGGTAAGGCAAGCAACGGAATCCGTGCACATGCACATGCACCCGTATCGAATGTCGAAATCCCCCTGTGATCCACTTAAAGCACTACTTCTCGTCACACTTACCCCTGCGTCCCGAAGGTGATTGGAAGGCTGGGTGCCCACCAATAGACGGCAGATGTGCGGCTCTGATTGGTCCCTGTGACTGTTGTTGGAGATGAGCCTGATACTGAGACTGATATGGAATCACAGACCGAGACTGAGACTGAGACTGAGACTGAGACCGAGACTGAGACTGAGACTGAGACTGAGACTGAGACTGAGACTGAGACTGAGACTGAGACTGAGACTGAGACTGAGACTGAGACTGAGACTGAGCAGCTAATGGTCTGTGCTGCGGATGCTGCTGAATCTGCTGCTGCTGCGGCTGCTTCTGCTGCGGCTGCTTCTGCTGCTGCTCTTCCGGGATGGCCGCTGGATTGGCCACACCAGCTGAACCCACAGCGGGAGCAGCAGCAGCAGCAGCAGAGGAACTAGAAGCAGCAGCAGCAGTAACGGCACCACCCGCAGGTGGTCGCGGAATCAACGGCGGAGTATTCGTCTGAGCAGTACTAATCGACGGTCTGATCTGTCCGCCGGTGCCTGCATGAGGAGAAGCGTGAGGGGCGCCGCCGTGAATCGCGGCGGAGTTCGGCGGCAGGACGACGAACGACTGATCGAGCATCGACGCGGAACTCGCGGCGTGCGGCCCGCACCGCGACGCGCCCATCGCGTCCGCTGATTGGCCGAGCGACGACGCGCTATGAGCGAGCCCGTCCAGCCCCGTGAGCTCGAGCCGCGTGCCGCACATCTGGCACAGCCACCGCGGCGACGGCGCCGCCGACGCCGCCATCTGAAGCTTCAGACGTCAACGCAAACGCTAAGGTGGGTCAAGAGCTCACGCGGGTCTAAGAGCCAAAGCGGGTCTGGGCGTTAAAACGGCATCAGCAGACAAAGCTACCACGGCGATGATGCCGTCGATGCCGTCCAAACCTAAATCCGATCCAACTGACGTGGGTGTAAGGGCTAGAGAGCGGGTCAACGAGCTGAAACTATGGGATCGTTGACACTCCAGCCGACGACCAAAACGTATCACAAATATCGCCGAGACCAAGGAGCTCTGAAACGCAACGTAAGCAATTTCTTGCGGCACCTGTTACGTCCTGCGACTCAGCAAGGCTGACATGCGGGCAGCACTACTGACGTCACGTGCCGTGCTGCCATGCCGAGCTGCTCCTGTCAGGGGGGACAGCGACTCACACAAAGGAAGCTTCTCCCCGCTGGCCATGCATGCGAGCATCCTGGTCACCCGTTCCTTCTTGTACACGGCGGACAATGCGGGCGCCACGATGCTCGAGGGTGCGCTCGAGGGGCATTTCCAAGTACAGCGTCGTCAGATCAGCAATGATAATGTTCTCAGAGGATCTGCTGCTTCACCACCATCTAGCGTACGAAGTGCCAAAAGTTCTCACACTTGGGCCCGCTGGTGGACCATGCAGATAAGAATCGGTGATGCATACCCGCCAAAAGTAACGAGCAGCACAGGTGGAGGCGACTTTCCGGCTGGGAGCTTTTGTCCCATCTTCATTTTCCTCGCACTGTCAGGCCCACCACGGCGGAAGCAGAAAGACCACCGCAAGGAGGCATACTATTGGACCGTTGGGAAGTGCTCGCGCATCCAATCGCGGCTCCAGGCTTGCAGGAGCCCCACTCACATTTAAACACTACACTGCGTTGCACACATGCATATACAGTAGACCGCTCTCTCCATGTTGAGGTAATACGATTTTCTCCCTACACCGTGCAGACAGTTCCACGACGGAGCCGCCGCCTTGAGCTGCTTGCGCAACTTGATCTACTCGGGCACCTTCGTTACGGGCATTATTATTATCTGCAAAAAGGTGTTGCGGAGGGGGGGGGGGGAGGGGGAAGGAGTGCAGTGATGGAGCACCAAATCAAACCCGTCATCTTAGACCATGAAGACAGTGGCACCTTGTCATGTTTGACTTGTTGCGGGTCCATCGAAGGCTCGCTTGACTCCGGAAATGATGGCACCGGCACGTTAGACATCGCCCACATGTCTTCATCCTCAAACTGATTTGCAGCCACTGCCACGACATCATCAAAATCCCCTTTGTCATATGCTCCAAGGACATCGTTGCCTCCCTCAGTGTTTTCATCATCGTTGCCTCTTAGGGTAAAGTTTTTAGAATACAGTAACGGAAACAATTGTCCGGATGTTTTGCACTTAGGGTTTTTGGGCATTCCGACCACTGTACATAAAGTCTTAATATTTAATGGTGGCACACTTTGGGAGGGGCACATAGAGGATGTGTTCATAGTGCTATAATCCATAAAAGTACACTGGATCTAACCTAGTGCCAAAAGATATCCAAAGAGTACATCTGGACAATTGTTTCCTAGGACAAAGAGCAAACTTCCAAACATCGTTCCTAATACCTAGTCCACCAACCCTTAGCCTTGATCACCACCCGCACCCTCCTAAACATCTTGTCTACAGGTTAGTGCAAACCTTTGCAGGGAGCTTTTCGCACTCTTCCTGGACCCACACTTTTGCATAAGGGGGTGAGCACTAGGAAAATCGCGAAGGATTTTAGCGTATGCAAAAGAAATGTGCATGCTTTCTGATTGAATGCGATCTCTTAACCTTGCCACGCTGAAGTGTGACCAAAGATGCCATTAGCCACTTGGTCGCGTCTTTTCATGGGTCGTCTCCGTCGTACTGCTGTAGGGTAAAACCACGAACTGAGCGCGTAAAACTAGCGTATACGCTTTGAATCTGAGGGTAAAGTAGCACGGTTGATTGAACACCCTTGCACTATTAGAATCACGCTAGGATTTGCAGGTCTCGTCACTGTGCAGCAGTCGAAGAAGTCACGACTGTTCGAGATAAATGCTTGAGGTGAGGTATTGTGAGGAAAAGGGTCATTCCAATGCAACATACTCATGCTCTCCAAGCCATTCCAAGCCGTTTGACCCGCCTAGGCTTGGAATGGCTTGGAGAGCATGAGTACGTAGCACTGGAGTGACCCTCTTCCTCACCAGACCTCAACCCAGATATTTTTCCCTACCAGCCGAGGCTTCTTCGGCTGCTGCACCGTGACGAGAACCGTGGATTTTAACGTGATTCTAATAGTGAAAGGGTGCACAGTTGACCGTGCTATGTTACCCTAAGTTTCGAGGAGGATGCGCTAGTTTTCGCCACTCTGTTCGTAATTTTACCCTACAACGGTACGACGAAGACGACCCATGAAAAGACGGGACCAAACGGCTAATGGTCCCTTCTTTTCATGAAAAGACACACCTCTGTGTGGATAGTCTAAGAGGTCACATTCAAAAAGAAATCGTGCACAATACTCTTGCGTACGCTCAAATCCTTCGCGATTTTCCTAGTGCTCACCCCTTTATGCAAAAGGGTGGGTCCAAGAAGAGTGTGAGAAGATCCCTGCAAAGGTTTGCACCAACCTCATAGATACCATGCCTAGGAGGCTGCGTGTGGTGATCAAGGCCAAGGGTCGGTGGAATAGGTACTAGAAACGCTGTTTGGAAGTGTGTGCTTTGTCATGGGAAACAATTGTCCGGATGGACTCTTTGGATATCTTTAGACACCAAGTTAGATCCAGTGTACTATTATGTATTATAGCACTATGAACACATCCACTATGTGCCACTCCCAAAGCGTACCACCATTAAACATTAAGACTTTATGTACAGTGGTTGGAATGCCAAAAAACCCTCGTTAATGCAAAACATCCGTCACTAATTTCCGTCACTGTAAATGCTTTTCTTGATTGGAGTGAATGAGAGTTTTGTACCACCCTATGGTCTTTGTATAAAAGAGTTACTTCCTGATTTGGCCTGAAACCTTGGCGTCGTCACTCAGACTGCTTGGCCCGCACATGTCAATTGTTGCCACACCCCAGCCCGCAGGAAGTTTCAAGAGTGCCCAACAGACACGTAGCCATTTTCATCTGTAACAATTGTAAATCTTAGTAAGGAATGCATCATTATTCTAACATGTGTGCATTATCCTCTATTCTAGCATGCGTGAAAGGGTTTTTTTTTCTTGCAACAAGCAACCCTTTCATGGAATAAATGAACTGGGAAGTTAGGGTTACACTGCACATTGAAATCCCTCTCATTTTCTGAGCACGGCAAAAACGTATTAGAATATACCATGCTATGCTACTTGCGTATATTGTATGTATACCCAATGCTAGATGTACACTTGTATTGGAGTGCCAAACCAACCCAATTGTGGTTGAAGCCCCCATTACCAAGGACCACAATTGTAGGGGTACCACAAGTTGGGTTGGTCACGCCACTTATGGTCCACCACGTTTAGACGACCTCCCGCTTGTGGTCAACCTCATTTGGAGGGATCCCCCTCCCATGTGATTGGTCTTCACCCCCCTCTCCCTTCCAACCCTCCCTTCCTACAGTAGATCATCTCCCTTCGTACATAATGTATTTGTTTCATCAATGAATAAACTAAACCTTTCTATTTCTAACCTGGTACGAGCATCTAAGACTTATCACCACATTTATTTTCCCTGATTCTAACCATTCCCATCCTATTCCCATTCCGATCCCAACATTTCGTCCCACGCTTCCACCCCTACTTATTGACGCTGCTACTTAGGGCCATGTTCTGGCCCATTCCTTTGCTGCAGCGCTAACCGCCACTTCCCCTTGCTGATGATAGGTAGCTCCTCGCCGCCGGTTCTCCACCCCGCCGCTAGCTTAGCCGTAGCCACCACCCCATCCTTTGCGTTGCCGCTAGCCATACCCGCTAGCTTAGCTCTAGCCGCCGCCCCTTCCTTTGTGCCACCACTAACCGTATTGTTGCCGTAGCTAGTTCTCCATGCTGCCGCTAGCTTAGCCATAGCCGACGCCCCTCCGCCCGTCTCCTTGGCCATCCCTCTTCTCCGCATCAGAGCCCGCTCACCGCGCACTGCCTCCTCCCCGCGCGCCGCCGCCTACACTTCGTCCGAGATGCGTCGCCACCCATACCTTGACCACTACGTGCCGCCGCCTGCTCGCCGTCCGCCGGCTGCTCGCTGTCTGCCGGCTGCTTGCTGTCCGCCACCCATTGCCGCATGCGTGCTGTCCATCATCGTCTGCTCACTGTTGCTCGCTCACCAGCGCCTGCATGCCTGCTCGCCAGCGCTCGCCACCGCCAGCTCACTGTCACCTGCTCGGTGTTATCTGGTCGTTGCCGCCTGCATGCCTGCCTACCACCGTCTACTTGTCGTTGCTCCTGCATGCTGTTGCATCCTCACACCGTCACTCATCAGCCTGCCATTCGTCGTCGCTCCCTCGCCGCAGCCTGCTTGCTCACGCGATGCTGCATCTGCCCGCCATCCCTGGCTGCATCTGCCTGCCTCCCATCGCCGCCATTTTGCCTCACCGTTGCCCATTCACCATCCCCTACTTGCTACCGCCTGCACGCTCACACCCCGCTACTAGCTCGCCATCCTCTGCTTTGTCGGCTCACCCGCGACCTCCAGCGGCACCACGGCTGCCACCGGCACTCCCCGAAACAACACCCCCAAGACTAGCACCCTCGGACGCACCACCCATGGAACCAGCATCCCCAGAACTCGCACCCCCAGAACCAACACCCCCAACTGCAACAAATCCAACACCAGCACCCCCAGAACCAGCACCCCTAGAACCCACTGCTCCCTCCTGCGGCCGCTAAGGCTGCTGTGGTGGCTGCTGCTGCTGCTGCTGAGGCAAGGGGGGGGGTGGCTGAGGTTACAGGGGTACCAAGGCTGGGGAAGGCGCCACAAGGACAGCAGGCACGCCCCCAGCAGCTGGGCCCCCAAAGTCAGCCGACTCCCCCACAGGCGCAACCAAGGGGAACTGAGTGGTGTGGGAGACACCAGACTGGGCCGAGAAGGGCGGGAGGGGTGCGGCAGGTGGGGCAGGGACAAGGAAGAGAGGAGGAGGAGGCACAGGAGCGCTGCGGTGCGGGGAGCACCGGTAATAGGGGAGCATCTCGTCGCAGGTAACGTTACGAGAGTGGTAAAAGCGGTGGTGTGACGGGTGGTAGAATAGCTAGTCAAAGGTGTCAAGCGGAAACCCCAAGAAGACACAAAGAAGGGTGCAGGCTGAGAGCTTGTCTGCGCTAGTCTCACAGACGTGAGCAAGGCTGCCCCAGACGTGGAACCCAGACGCGTCACCAGGAGACCCGGTCCAGAGGAGGGTTGGCAAAACCTGTGGCCGTTGGGAGTGCGGCCACAGGTTAAGCTGGTGAGCAGCGTAGCGCACAGCGAATGGCCACAGAAAATGGGGTGTACCGGCGTGGTTCATGGAGGTGCAAGCCATCTCCATGATCAGGCTGATACGTTGCTCAGCGACCCCATTCTGCTGTGGGAAGTCCGGCAGTGTGTACGTCTGGCAAATGCCCTCCGCATGACAGAACTGTCCTAGAGTGCCGGAGGCGAACTCGCCACCTCGGTCAGAGTGTAAGCAACCTACAGACAAACGGTGGTGGGTGCG